ATATAATATAATATGTATAAGTGCTAGATGGAGCAGAGGGTGTAGCTTAGTAGCACCACATGTGCTTTGTAGAAGTGAAGCCCTGAGTTTGATCCACCACCAGAAGAAAAAAGCTAACCAGTCTTTTTGGTGTTATCTAGAATGCTTAGTAATTACTTATTCAAGCTGTGAGTCAGTATTACAAACCAATTTAAGGAATGCATGGCATAGTGTATTTCAGACTTGTGCGTAAAGCTATGGAAAGGTGAACTCGGTTTTAAATGTTTATCACATAAAACCTTCTTACATATGAGGAGTTAAAGTCAGGTTAAACCGGCTGCATACCAAATACAAATTACATCTTTAAACAGGATAACTATTGTGTAGGGCTCAAAGTAACCCATTCAATGCATAAGTTTAATATGAGTTATCTCTGTCTTAGGTTCGTGTCTCAAGCGTGCTTCCATTTTCTTCTGCTCCCTATCTTTACTTTTGAGGAAAATGTATCTTTCTCACATTTTTCACTAGCTGTAGTACATTGTCTTTCTTTTCTTATTTGGCATTCCCTGTTGTCTTTCTCTGTATGCTTCAGTTTTAAATATACAGCTTAAAAGGAGATTACTAGATACGTGCATACCCTGACCTTCATAATGCAAAGCTGACTCTCCCACATTGGCTGCATCTGAAGTGAATTATCTTGAGTAGTCTAGAGGTTCACAGATGGATTTTCTGCCTCTGAAGATGCAGTGAGGGGTTTTACTTGTCTGTGGCTGATGACAGGGCTCAGGCTTTCGTGAAAGTGTCTCTTCAGATACTAGCAGAAACCTTAGCATAGGGCTACCAAATTTTATTCCACCCCTTCCAGGCTTATTCATCACAGTTCTCCGAGATGCTTACAAAGGGCTGGCTTTTGTCTGGGCCAATAGCTTGGGTTTAAAAACAACAAGGGTTGCATCTTTCTGGCCAGTGCTGAGAAGCCCTGGGCTCATGGTGTGTGTGTTCATGTCCTCCCAGTCGTCTGTCGTGCATCCGCTGCTGCAGCTCGTTCCACAACTGCATGAGAGAAGAATGAAGAGATTCCAAGCGAACGTATGTAATAACAACTGCATGCTTGCTTTGCTGCTCTCTCTGTGTGGGCAGCCCTTTCCCTACTCCCACCTGTGACAGGTGCCAAGGTGCTCTGCTTTGGATGAGCCCCCACGAGCCAGCAAGCCAGCATCAAACCGTCTGTGTGCAGTAGTGTTGTCATAGTCAGGAAAAAAAAAGTGTTCAATCCTGCCTGTCCCCTGTGTCCTGTCCCTTTGAACTGCAGCTGTGGATAGCCAGGAAGGCTGGGATGGCATTCCCTTGCATGCCTGCACAGCAAGGAAACCTGTTCAGTTTAAGAAAGGTTACTTCGGGTCTATGTTTCGATAGAAAGAGGAAAACAAGACTTGCTGCCTTTTGTATCAGCATTGGGAAACAAGAGGACACGTTTCTTGTTCAAGTATTAGCATGTGGGTAAGAGTGAGGAATGTGTCCGAAACTGGGTGCAGACACTTTAGTTTTTCCATAGTGAACAAAAATATGCCCTAAATAATGCAGGATGAATATAATTGAGTTAATGCCTTCTTAACTAGGAATTGTGGGGTTTTAGCTGTCTTTTGAGAATACTGACGCTTGAGAAGCCGACAGCTTCTAGTAGGTAGTATTCTTTTTTTTTCTTTTTTCTTTTTTTTTTTTGCAGAACCGGGGATTGAACTCAGGTCCTTGCACTTGCCAGGGAAGTGCTTACTCCACTGAGCCATCTCCCCGGGCCCTAGTAGGTAGCATTCTAAGGAATGCCTTGCATTGGAACAATTCATAATTTTCAGTCTCATATTAGCTCATTTTATTCTACTTGGAACTCTGTTCATGCTTGTATCCACGCAGTATTATTCTCTCAAGTTCACAGAGAGAAAAACAACTAAGAATGGCTAAAGGGGTTTCTCAAAATGAGACTAGAAAAGAGGTCACAGCACAGTCAGCTCATTTGTAGTCTATGTGAATATTATTTCACTCTGATATTCTCATTACAGTTCAATCTCAGATTCTTTTGTTTTATTGCTAAGTTTTGCACTGTTAGTTAAGGTTGAATTCAAGTCTTATTTTTCCTTAACTTCAATACTGTCTTATTCTTAAACTGCTACTCAGAATATTCAACTGCTTTTAAAAAATGAATACTGTTTAAATAAATTTATTTTTATGCTCACTATTTCTTCCTTAAATTCTTCATATTAATACAACTAAGCTTGAGTTAAGGGCTGGGGGTTGGCTCAGCAGTGTAATGCCTGCCTGGCAAACACGAGGTCCTGAGTTCAATTCCCAGTACCAAAAGAAATAAAAAATAAAACTAAGTTTGTACCAACAACAGTATCTGCTGCCAACTTTAAAAAAAAAAATGTAGTGAATATAGTATTCCTCTAAAATTTTAGAATTTCCAAAATGCAATGTTAAAAAGGCAGTAGTTAAAAAAAAAATAATAAAAAAATAAAAAGGCAGTAGTTGTTAACCAAACTTTCTAGAAATAATATATTTTTTTAAAAAAGTGGGGATTGAACCCAAGGCCTTCTCACTAAACTACAGCTCCTGTTTATTTTGAAATAGAATTTCCGCAAGTCACTAAATTGTCCAGGCTGGGTACCAACTTGCAACCCTCCTGCCTCAACATCCCAGAGTACTGAGAATGTAGATATATGCCACTATACACAGCTAATATGCTTTGTAAATTTAACATTTTCTTCCTAAAGTGTTTTCTTGGTTTATGAATAATATATAATTTCATTTTAAAGATCTGGCTTCTCAAAATACAGTAACATGTTAGTTTAACTACATTATTAGGGCCAACCAAATAGCTCAGTGGATTAAAGCGCCTGCAAGCAGGCGTAGGGGCCAGGGGTTCAATTCATGGACCTGCCATGCCAGTCCCACCCCCAGGGTGCACAGAGATGGCAATTGAGCCTGGGCGTGGTGGTGCACGCCTGTAATCCCAGCTCTTGGGAGGCTGTAAACAGGAGGATCACTATGAGTCCAATCTAGTAGTGAGACCCTGAACACCCTGTAGACCCATCCCTAAAATAAAAAATAAAAAAACTACGTGATTACAATGGTTGTTATTTACATACTCAAAAATAATCACTTGGTGTTGTGACAAATTTAGTATAGTGCTTGAATTTTCTACTTTGAATGAGACCATCTATGTTGGCAGACTGTTAGCCAAAACCATGAACTACAACTTAGTACAACCTGTAAGGCATATGATAAACCCTAAAAGTTCTTTCTTTCTTTCTCTCTTTCTTTCTCTTTCTTCCTTTCCTTTCTTCCTTCCTTCCTTCCTTCCTTTCCTTCCTTCCTTCCTCTCTCTCTCTCTCTCTCTCTCTCTCTCTCTCTCTCTCTCTCCTTCTTTCTTACACATATTTGGCAGCTCAGACTTGTAGTCATCCTGCAGTTTTCAGCCTCCCCAGCGCTAGGATTACAGGTGTGTACCACCACACCTAGTATCTGTGGCCAGCTCAGCTGCCCAGGGGCAGGGCCGGCATAGCATGTGGTGCTGGAGTTTGAACCCAGTCCCCATGCTTGCCTAAGTAGGCACTTAGTCTGCTGAGCTATCTCATGGATCCTTTTCTTTCTTATTTATTCATTTTTTAAACAATGCTGGGTGTTGAACCCAGAACCTTACACTCACTAGGTAAAGTACTACATTACCAGTCTTTTTTAGTTTTGAGTTAAGGTCTTTCTAAATTCCTCAGACTGGTCTTGTACTTGAACTCCTCCTGCCTATTTTGTAGCAAGTCAAGACTCTTGGAAACCTATAAAGCAAAAGAATATAAGTGTGGTAGTCCTGGGGCAGGAAGATAGAACAATTGAGGTCAGCCCAGACAATGTAGCAAGACCTTGCTTCACAATAAAATATAAAAAGGTCTGGGGATGTAGTTTAGTGATAGAGTGCCCTGGATTCAATCACCAGAAGTACAAGAAAAAGGAGGGGAGGGAGGGAATGGGGAGAGAATGTACGAAGTGAATGAAAGAGCAATAGACTGTTAGCTGTGGTAGGACTATGTCACCTAATCAAAACATTTTTATAGTGAACTATCTAGGATTCTTTTAAAAAATGGAGGTTTGAATGGTAATAATTTAATTTTTTTCTTTAATCTTATTTTCTATGTATCTTCCACTTTATCCTACATCTTTCTTTTTGTACCTACTCACATTCTTTTCTATATTACCCTACCCCCAATGACAAGACTCTAGTGAAACCTGTATGTTGGGGCTTTGCATTTGAAATTTTAAAATATTCAGTACATTTCAATTTTCATTTTCTTCCCCCCCTTTTTTTCTTTTCTATTTAACGTGATTTACATGGGAACTTTTCTTACATAGACATCTAAACATTTGGGTGCTATGCTTACAATTTTAAGTGCTAGTTTTTTATCTGAAGGGGCTTCGGGACAACAGTAATGATGAGAATTAAATAAAATATTGAGAATTTAAGATATGTTTGTTGTAAATCAAGAGTTTAAGAATTAAATAGATACAGAGACATTTCTTAGGGTTTAAAAATATGATTATATTTATTTTATGAAATGAAAGGTCTCAACTAACAGATTTCATGATCATTGATAGATAATTGCTAATAAAAGTAGGAAGCTAAAAATCAATTTAATGGAAACCAAAAATATAAAATATTCTTTCTATGAAGTTAAAAATGAAATGTTTAAGAAACACTAAATGATATTCCCATTATGAATAATTTTTTGTTCTTATTTGGTATTTTCTTGTTGTTACCTTCTATCAATATTTTAGAAAAATCTTCTCTAAAATAGCAATGGGTGAACAAAATTTCCAAAGTTGTCCTCCAATTATAATCTACATCACCTCAAAACTATTGTACTTTTTTGCTCTGACACAGTTCTGGTTTATCTATTGTTCTATATTTATCTTTCTACTTATTGATGAATACACTTACCATTGACAAAATTCCTGAAAAGACAATCTGACACACTGACCAGAATGGTATTCTTAAATATAGCATTTAGGTGATACTACTAGCAGCTGACATTTTTGAGGTTTAAATACAAGAGTGTCTCCTGATAGTAATGATGTACTCAGGTCTGCAGCTCCTTGCCTGTTTAGTGATTAGAGTTGTAGATAATTTTGAGCCTTGCTATGCTCTTTAGAAGAACTTGCACTTGTTTTTTGGTGTTGCTTGTAACGCCTGCCTTTTCTCTTTCAGGAGGCATTCCGAAGTCCTTTTGCAAATCGAAGGAGAGGATACTTTTTGTTCAGGGTATATATATACTGTATTTTTTAATCAATTGATATCAAACTTGAAAAATTGATTGTGGATTTAACCTACTCTTAAATTTCAATTAGATCCTGAAATTTATTTGTAGATATTTGACATCCAGCATTAGGGTGTGACATTCATTCTGTTATTTCCTGATCTCTTCAATACCACAGCATCTCTAATCTCTTCTCTGGTTCACTACTTATATTTGTAAACACTGCAGGTGACATTCATTTACTTGAAAGTTTAATTTCCATGTACAGGAAATAAATGTCTTAAGTATTCTTATTTGTTAAATTCCAAGGGATCATTCGCTAAGTTTTTGATTTAATGGTTTGAAAGAATTATGACTATTTTCACAAATCTTTAAAAGAACCAACTATAATAATAGCCTTTACTTCTTCTTATAACTTTGAGGAGAAAAAACTTCATTTTTCCTTATAGCCTTAAGTAGGAAAATCTCTGGTTGTATTTCTCGTTTTGTATGCCCAAATCATGTATAAAATATGTTTTAAAAATAGCTGTTTTATGAAATATTTGCATCCTTAATACATTAGCAGAAAATTTTAATTTGCTAATTAATATACTTAACTGGGCACTGCCCATGTATAAAATGAATGGAAAGATAGGTTCCAATTTATTTACTTTTGGGCACCAGGAATTTAACCCAGGACCTTGCACTTGCCAGGCAGTCCCTGTACCCCTGAGTTATATCCCCACCCTATCATTCAATTTCTATACCCTCTGAACTTATAGACCCATAGAGGAAATAGATAAATAAATACAAGGCCAGTGCCTGTTCAGGCAAGCTTAGGCAAAGGCAGGGACTGCAGTTCAATCCCCATCACTACCTGCCATGCTAGCCCCTCCCCCAGGGTGGGCTGAGCCAGCCACAATAAATAAATAAATAAATAAATAAATAAATAAATAGTATAGTCAGCCTGGTATCCACAGCAGCTTGTTCTAGGACATGCCAAAGATACCAAAATCTGACAATGCTGAAGTCTCTTATGTAAAAAGTTGTATTTCTATACCACATCCTCTTATACATTACAAGTCATCTCTAGGTTACTTATATTACCAAATAAAATGTAAATACTATGTAAATAGTTATTATAACACACCATTTGAGGAATAATGACCAAAATGAATCAGTATGTGTTTACTACTGCCATAATTTTTAAAAATATTTTTGGATGTCAAAACTGAGTACAGAGGGCTGACTGTACTACATTAAATGCATCTTCAGCCCTACAGCCATGCATTACTCTAAAAAGTACCACTTAAGGAATGAAGGATATATAGGAACAAGCTTTTATGGTTGTGTCCTGAAAAATTAATAGGAAATGGTTGATAAAATATTAAGCTGAAAAAATTCAACTTTACTGCATTGGGATCCACAGGAAACGTGTGGTGAGACTTGCATTTTGAAAAATTATTCTAACAGAAATTGGAGAATGGAGTAAATGAAGAAACTCGATTGAAAAAAGAAGAAATGATATTAAAGTACTGTGAATTTAATGAGTCAATGTTGGTTGATATCAAATTAAACTTAAAAACATTTCTTTTACATTTTTGAGACTATCAAAAAAATAAACAAAATCAAATGATATTTCACTTATCGTGTTCCTCAGCAGCTTTAGCAGCACCTAAGACCTTATTAGAAATACAGATTTTGGGAGTCCACCTCAGACTTATTAAATTAGAAACTCCAGCTATAAGGTTCAGCAGTTGCATTTTTGTGTTGCCAAAATCCTCCAAGTAAATCTGATGTACATTTTTAAAAAACCTCTCTATATCCTTATGATATGTCAACATTCTGTGAACATTAGTTTCCATTCCTACACTAACTTACTTCTAATATTTTTCAGCCACGCAATGGGAGGTCAGCAGGTTTTATTTAAAATGGTATGTTTTTTTTTAATGGTACATAATAGATATATAAAAACAAAATGATGTTTCCTAATCCAACTCAACCTAAAAATTTCTATGGAATTCAAATATGCACAAATTATACTATGTTCAATGTATTTTATTATCTGATTGCATGTGTGTGCTAATATGCTGTATAAATATTACAACTATAAAAGCAATGGGGGTGTCATATGATGGAAAGTTCCAAGGTTTTAAGGCCAGATCTGCTTTGCCATAGTGTTCCTCAGACCATTCCACAGTCATTATCATCCTAATTGATTTTGGAGCTGTTGACATCACCATAATCATCATCATCAAGCTGTCCGTGTCAGGGTTGCATTCCTAGTGTGGTACCACTAGTGTCCACCATAATGAACCAGGACTTACAGACTGAGTGTACTTCTGTCTTCTGAGTAATTCATACTCAAAGATTCTTTATGAAAGCACGTGACTTACAGCTCTAGGGAATGAAGAAACTGTGCAGAGACATAAGATTATAACTTCTGTTTTGCTGCTTTCAAAGTTTCTGCCCAGTGCTGGGCATAAAATACAAGTTTAGTAGCCAACAGCTTTTAGGATTGACAGATTTATTAAACATGTGAGAACAGTCAATAGCTACTGGTCTCATATATTTAATAAATGTTAACCCTAATAACTTAATAAACACACATTTAAAATAAACTGAAATGCAAATTATTAAATTTATAGCACAAAATAAAACTATATTCTACTAAACTTATATATCCTAAATCAAAATTCTCTCTCTCTCTCTCTCTCTCTCTCTCTCTCTCTCTCTCTCTCTTTGGCAGAACCAGGGATTTAACTCAGGCCCTTGCGCTTGTAATTTGTGCATATTTGAATCCCATAAGCGCTTATTCTACTGAGCCATCTCCCCGGCCCCTTCAAAATTCTATCTTGAATGTATTTTTTTGGAAATATTTCACTCATTTCATATACCTCAACCCTTAAACATCTTTATCTTAGAAATGTCAAAATTCTTGCTAGATGTGGTAATGTACACCTATAATCCAGCACTGGAGAGGCAGAATGATCACAAGTTTGAAGCTAGCCTTGACAAATGACTACTTACTCAACCCTGTGTATTCAGTTCTTATAAAAATAAAAGTGAAAATTCTAACTATTTTTTTCAAAAAAACAAAACCAAGTATAACATTACTAATTAAAGAAGATATTAATAACACTATGCAATATAACAACCAGTGCTAATTTTCTATCATCTTATTTTGAAATTCACCAAAAACATACATTATTTAGAAATTTAAACAACGAAAAACTCCAAAGTAAATCTTAGGCTTTTTTAAAAGCCCCATTCAGTGGAAATTTCAAGGCCTCAACCAAGCAAGGAAGAGTTCATGAATTGCCAGATGTGAAGGTACGTGACTGTGATGTCAGCTGCTCAGAAATCTAAGGCCAGATGATTTCAAGTTTGAGGTCAGCCTGGGCAATAAAGTGAGACCCTCTTTTTTTTTATTTTTAATGTATTTGGTACACGGTTTCACTATGTAGCTGTGACTTGTAGTGATCCTCCTGTTTTTAGCCTCCCCAGTGCTGGGATTGCAGGATGCACCACCATGCCTGGACTTGGAGGTGGACTCAGGATGCCCAGGGAGAGGGCCAGCGTGGCATGTGGTGCCAGGGATAGAACCCTGGTCCCTGCACTTGCCTAAGCAGGTGCTAGGTCTGCTGAGCTGTCTTGCCAGCCCTCAGACCCTCATCTTAAAAAAAATGACTTAAGATCTTAGCTTCTTTCTTGGGCTTATGCAAGATAATTATTAATTTACTAATTAGATATTTAAATATTATTAATTTACTAATTAGATATTTAAATATTAGATATTAGATAATTACTAATTACTACTAATTTCCATTGATGCATTGAAAGGAACAGTTAATGCTTAATTTTTGGTTCAATTTTGCATGCCTATTAATAACCACAATATGCAATATAACAACCATTGTTGATTTCCTGTCATCTTATTTTGAAATTCTGTATTGTTTTAATGTTTTCTTTCTTTTTTAATTCTCTTTAAATAAAAAACTAATTTAACTTAAGTAGTCAAGAAAAGAGAGCAACAAGGTGACTCTGGAAAGGAGAAAGAAGAAAGTTACAAAAATAAAAAAATTATAAATTAAAAGTAGTAAAATAGAAATAGTAAACAACAAAAATATGATTCCTTTTTGTTTGTTTCCTTGTTTGTTTTCAGACAGGGTCTCAGTATGTGACTGATACTGTCCTTTAATTCACTATATAGTCTAGGTAGACCTCAAACTTGTAGTGATTCTCCTGTTTCTGTTTCCCAAGCTGGGATTATAGGCATGCGCCACCACATCCAGCTCAAAAATCTGATTCTTTACAAAAAATAAAATAAACTAGCCTATTTTGCCTAGCTTAATCTAGACAAAATGATAAAATCATAAGTATATAAAGATACATATGAAAAGACAAATGATATAAAAGGAATGAAAGTCAAAAAAGAATACACATCTCTGTATTATGTTTTTAAGCCTGGACTCAGTGTAGGATTGTCTACTAAGGTAGGTAGGTTCTACCAAAATTAACCTTAGAAAAAAGAAAAAAATACTAAGAGATAAATGAAAACTATTATCAAGAAACTATCCCATTAAAAAGTACTAAGCAAATAGATTTTGAATTTTTTAGCTGAAAAATGAAAAATCTTTAAATATTTCATGGTCAGCATAATAGTAATACCAGAACCTAACAGAAATACAAAATGGAAGCTGAAAGTCAATCCTGCTTTTAAATATCAATGCCAAAATTCTAGGAATACATTAATAAATAATATGCATCGCTATTTTTAAGGAATTATACATGACTTCACTTAGTGAGATTTGTTCTGACAATTCAAAGACGATTCAAAATAAGAACATCTATTAAAATGTACCAGCATTAAAAAACAGTATCTGATAATCTTAATAGATGATTCTGGTAAAAAATCCACACGACTTTCTGATCTTTTAAGAAAAAATTTTTGTAGAAAAAGATAAATCTTTTCTTGACATTTATATAATGATTTCCAAGTAAAGTTAGCAGAAGGGTTGATAATCAAACACATCAGCGAATTTCTATTTATATCAGGAACAAAATAATTATACCTTCTTTTTTTATTCAGTGTATCCTGAAGGCCAGCCTGGGCAACATAGACCCACTCTGTGTGTGTGTGTGTGTGTGTGTGTGTGTGTGTGTGTGTGTTACTTGGGATTGAATCTAGGAAACCTCTCTACTGATCTATGAGACAGCGCCTCACTATGTTGTCTAGGCTATCCTGGAGCTTGCCATCCTTCTGCCTCGGCCTGACAGGTAGCTGGGATTACAGGCATGCACCACTGTGCCCAGGTTAATGTAGCTCATCTAATGGCCCAGTAAGCATTTGCCATCTCAATTAGATAAGGAAGAAATAAAGGATAGACACATTGGGAAAAGATGAAGAAAAAATATAATGTGCTCATGGATCATGATCAAGAACTTCAATTTTCAAACTGTTGAACATTAACTCCTTTTCAAATAAAGCATGAAAAAAGAAATGAAACATGATAAATTATGTCTATATGAGAAAATATGCTTTTTTCCCAAACAACTAAGAATAGTTAATGGAAAATATATTTTATAGTATTACAAATGAACATGATCACTTACAAAAATAACATGTGATTGTGACACCAGACTAAGTGTTGAAGTGTAAAAAAAGCAATTCAATAATAATTTTCCTTCTCTGATCTATCCTGATGGCTCATATTTATTTAGAAAGCAGTTACCCATATAGTTATTTAATTGGAGATATACTATACAGGTAAAGATTTAGAAGGAGTAACTGTGACTTTTGAAACATTCATAAATCATATTGGCATTAATGAACTTTAGGAAACCACTTTCACATGATTAAATACTGTAAATTTTTACAAAACATAGTCATACCAAATAAGCATGTCATTTGACATAGTGATACATGTAAAAAATATACAGACCGAAGAACAGTTAGAAATTTTCTCAGCTGCCAATGTTATTATATTATGATAAAATATTTGTAGAAAAACTATATAAATATATGTGTATATATATATACACATGTATATATTCACATACTCATTTATACTTGAACCTAATTCAATTTTCTTGTTTTTTACAGGATGCCAACTAATTTTCCACAGAAACAATGTATGGAACACTTAATGTACTATATTTTGGTTTTTTCTCAAAAACAATCTTCCCTAAGTTTACTCTGTTGAAAATTCCTGTGCTGTGAACATTCTGAATAAAAGTTAGTTGAAATCACAAATGTTTAATCTGTTGAAAATAAAAAGCATCTTAAAATATTTTTCTTAGTGTTTTTTTAAAATTTCCACATATTTATTTTAATACATTTAATATTTATTTATGCTTTTGAAAATTATATGATCAACTTATTTTGCCAATAGAAAAAACATTTCCATAACTTATTACTGAACCCACCAGGATTCAGTTTGAAGGGTGCCAATGGCTTGGAAATGACTAGTTGATTCGATGATAATCTAGGTAGAGGAAAGGGTATGAGAAATGCCAGCCTCAGCACCCCAAAGAAAAGGAAAGGCACTACTTGGGATAGATGCTCGAGGACCTGGCAGGTCCGTACCCACTGCCTTCACCTAAGCCATGTCTTTGTGTTGCCTGGCAACGAAGCTCACCTGTGCACCCTCGAAAGAAATCCTCCCTCCCCCTCCCCGCGGGCGTTGGAAACCGCTAGGCCTGCCGCGCTAGGCCTGCCGTGGCGTCTTCCAGCCTGGAAGATCGTTCCTCGATCTCAGTACCTTTCAGGGGTGGAATGACACGGGGGTGTGAACGGCACAGAACATCATGCAGGTGAAGTCGCAGCCCACCGGGCAATACCGGTACAGGCGAGGTCCCTAGCCGAACCCCAGGCTGGTCAACATAAATGGGGCCGGGGCCACAGGATTGGGTTCTAACATTTGTTGTCAGTCATTGCTGAATTTTCATTCAGTTCTATCTGGTTGTGAAAGAAATCTGGATTAGCTTTAGATGAAGGCCATTGTGTGTGTGTATGTGTGTGTGTGTGTGTGTGTGTGGTGTCTATTTTTGAGACTGCTGTACCGCTCAAGATGAATTCTTCAGAGTTTAGCATAGTTTTTCACACGTGAAGGCTAGTAATCCTACTGCCAGTACTCTTTTTTAAACTTTATTTAAGGGCTGACGTGATAGCTCAATGGACTAAGGGCCTGCTTAGGCAAGTACAGCAACCGGAGTTTGATCCCTGGCATCACATGCCTGTCTGGGCGTGGTGGTGCACACCTGTAATCCCAGTGATGGGGAGGCTGAGGATCACTATGAGTCCAGGCTGCATGGTGAGACCCTGTACAAAATACATTTTAAAAAAATATTTAATTCTTATTAGTTCGTGTTTGTGGTACACCATGGTTCCATTCATTGTGGGGAGTTGGTACACCTACATAACACACTGTAATTCTTTTTGTGATGCTGTTTCTGACTTAAGAATAGCAAGATTAGTCAAGTGTAATTCTATTTAATTGTCCTCTCCTACTATCTCAGACAAAACAACAGAGACCTTAACACTAGTAATTACACATCTTAAGGGAAAGCAACTGTCCCTGGAGCTTTTCCTACCTGATCACACAAAGGGTGTTAGAGTTCTGTTTCTTAGAAGGCCTCATAACCTATAGCTTCCTTATTAACCAGAAGCCTGTACTTTCATTTTGCCTTTGGCAGAGTAAAACTCTCACTTTCTGACTTACAGAAATAAGTTTTTCCAGTTGCCCCCCCAAATAAAAATACTGAATTTTTTTCTTGTCTTACACATTTAATTTTGGTATTTTTTTGTGGGGTTTTTTTGTTTTGTTTTGTTTTTGGTATTTGCATGCACCAATGTATTAGTATATGTGATTTATTGGGATATTTTACATATAAATTCTGCTTAATTTTAGTGACTATTAGTAATACAGTCTTAGGACATATATTTTATATAGTGTGAAAAAACAAGAATTTAGCTGAAAGGTAAGTAAACTGGTTGTGACAACATCCGTGATTCCAGCAGTTGGCAGACTGGGGCTGGAGGACTGCTGCAGGTTTGAGGCCTGCCTGGGCTATACAGTCAGTTCACATCATGAAACTTTGTTTTAAAAAAATAAAAGCAAAAGGTAATTTACTTGAGAGCAAAAGCAGCAGCACATTAACTTCTTTGTTCTTTTATTTATTCATTGATTCATCAGCAATCATACAATTCTCATGTTTGAGGTACAGACCTGTTACAGAATAACTCACTCTGAGATGTAAATAGGCACAGTAAACTGCCATTATAATTTGAGTAAATAAATAATGATGTCAATTATGTTAGAAAAAACTGCATAATTTCTAAAAGGAAAGGGAATGGCAAAGAGCATTGGCTGTTATATCAGGTTCCATTACAATAACTCCTGGTTCTGCCAAAGAAGACAAAGAAATTTGAATAAATCCATAAGAATATGGTGTCACAAATGTCAAGAAAGACCACTGTAGCAAGAAGAAAAAAACTAAATCAAATTCTTCTTAAGAGATCAGATGCAATACCTAGCCACTGGAAGTGGCAAAAGACAGTCTGTGGGTAACACTAGAAGGGAAGATGAAGGGGAGGCAGAAGCCAAAGTTGACATGGGTTGAAAATGTATAGGATTGTGAACTAGAACTCATTGGAGAATTTGGAAAAACTTGCCTTGACAATGGACAGGAATAAAATCTATCACCAAGAAATTTTGATCCAGGACAGCTTTCCCATGACTTGAGGCAACCTGAGGCACATTTTTGGGTGATATGGCAGACTGCAAACTGTGAATTTGGTATAAAATCTTCTGTAGTGCTCCCAAGTACTCACAAGAAACAAGTATCAAGCCTCTCTATTTTATGTTATAGGAGGAAAATATCTCTGTCTTAGCTCTCAAGAAATTCCCATGAATAAATTTTCAAGGACAAGGAGCAAAACTCAAAAGTAACCCAAGCACATAAGGAGAGAAAGCATTATGACCCTGAATCAAGAGAAGCACAACTGTAGTCATGTGTGGCAATCCCAGTAATCCACAGGCTAAAGCAGGAAGATTGCCAAATTGAAGGCCAGCCTAAACTACATAAAGAGACCCCATCTCAAAAGCAAGCAAGCAAGCAAACATAAAACACACTTGCAGAGACTTTAGGATTAGAATAGCCAGACATAGCAACAGTTATAAAGCAACAGTGATTATTCTGTGAAAAAAAAGACCTGCCTAAACTATCTAAGTAGAATAGAAGATTGTAAAAAATGATCTTATATTATATATATATATAAAATTTAAAATTTTATTTAAAAGGAGTAAAAATTTTATATAAAAAGGAGTTTTATATATGTAGTAGCAGGGAATAGTGTGAAATTAAGAAAATAATCCCATTATAGTAACATCAAAAATAATAAAATACAGTACTCAGTAATAACTTACCTCAAGAGGCCAAAAACTTGTATATACAAAACTATAAGATATTGGTAAAAGAAATTAAAGAAAGTATCAGTAATCCCAGAATATATCCTATGTTTGCAGATTACAAGATTTACTATTGTCTGTACTATGGATAACCACTAAGAAGATAACAATGTACAGTGTATTGACTATCAAAACTGTCCTATTTAATCAGCTGTGAAACTGTCTCATTCATATTTATTTCTCAATTTAAAAAAAAGTTTAAAAAAAGACTTACTATTGTCAAAAAGTCAGTATTGCCAACAGCAATGCCTAGTCTCAGAGCAATCCCTGAAAAACTAAACTTTTTTTTTTTTTTTTTTGCAGGCATGGAAAAACCCACCTCAATATTCATATAGAATCTCAGGGAACTCAGTAGTCAAATAGTCTTGGAAAAAATTGATTTTTAACTGATAGGAAAAAAATAGATCTTTGAAAGTTTGAATCATTTCTTTTAGAGACAGGCTGCTTCTCTAAACTTCCTCCTGCCTAGAATGCAAACCATCACCTACCACCCCCTCTCTGAGCTCCCATAAATGGACAGTATATGCAGCTGCTCCCATAAATGGACAGTATATGCAGGAAGTCAGGGCCCAGCTTTGCTTTCACAAAGGAATGAAACGAGTATGGAGTTGTCTATCATTTCATTGCATTCTCCTCCTCTCGTCCTTCCTATAAAATACCCTTGTACTTATTCACATAATGAGATGGTGATTTGAGGCAACATAAGGTTCCTCCATCTCCTTTGAGCTGGTTTTAAATAAAACCTTTTTTTTCTTTCACCAAAATTAATAGCCTTCCGTGATTTGGGGGTAGGGGAGTGCTCCACATATGGACCTGAATCGCCAGTAGCACAACATTAGAGGACCTGAAATGAATAGCATAAGTTGTGTAATTGTGGATGCACTTGATGCTGCCAAGCTATATGTTTAAATATAATTAAAATGGTAAGCTTTATAGTATATGTTTTTCATAATAAAAATATTTTATAATCAAGTAAAACATGAAAATTAAAAGCTGCAACAAATAAAATTTATATCAAGTATTCTTGAAAGCAAGTGGTAATATTTGATCATATGTCCAATCTTACATAACTGTATCTGTTAATCTGAGGAACAGATTCGATGATAAAAATAGATAATATATCAACCATTATAAATTAGTTATACCTGTTTTGAAAATTTGTAACATATGTATTGTTGTATGTTACTCTGTTTTTGTCTTTGTTTCTTTGTTTTTACTCCTTTTAAGTAAAATTTTAAAAAAGAAAAATAATAATAAATTTTTTAAGAAGACAAGCAGATGGGGTTTTATAGGTCAAAAGACTAGAAATAGGAAATATGGCACAAAGGGTTCAAGGAGTATGTTTGTATTTTGAGGTTAAGAGTAGGAAAATTTATTGGGGAAATGTAATGAGGAATAGGTTTTTTGATGTTGTTTTTTGAGACAGGGTCATGTTATGAAGTTCAGGCTGGCCTTGAACTCACTATGTAGCCTAGGCTTGCCTTGAACTCATAGTGATTCTCCTGCCTCATGTGCCACCATGCCCAGAAGGGATGGTGAACAGGAACAGCTCCTGAGGGACAGGAGGGATCCTGAATGGGTTAGCCTCAAACATCTGATGGGATGATTTTTGCAAATTTTCCAGAAGTGTTAAAAGATACAAAAAGCTCAGTGAACACATTTAGCACAAATACAAAGAAATATTGTATACTCGATTCATTACGGCAAATCCTAAGAAAACTGCAGACAAAACCTTAACTAAATCCAGACAACTGAAAGTGGGATTATCTTTGAAAGTTTCTTAAAGCGATAGTTGATAGCAATAAATATAGTAGCCAGAGTAAGTCTCATTGAAGGTATAACAGAGGAAGAATCCACATCAGTAAATGGCAGTTGGTAGGATTTATTCTTTTTGGCCTATTCAGCTGAGGATTTTAATTCCAAGTTTATTCTTGGTCATGGTTGCTTGCTACATAATTCTCTTCTCCTTCTTCTCCTTCTGTATTTTAGAGAAGGGTCTACAGGGTGTTTAGGGTCTCACTACTAGACTGGTCTTGTAGAGATCCACCTGTATACAGCCTCCCAAGAGCTGGGGATTACAGGCACATGCCACCATGCCCAGTCTCAATTGCCATCTCAGAGTGCCCTGGGGGCGGGGCTGTCACCGCAGGCCCAGGGAATGAACCTTGGGCCCCTGTACCTGCTTGTAGGCGCTTTAATCCACTGAGCTGTTTGGCCAGCCCTCCATAATTCTCTTCTTAAAACACTTCATAGTATGGCAGCTCACTTTGTCAAAGTCAGGAAGCACATTGGCTGGTAATGGAAGCTATAATCTTATAGAATGTAGCAATGTCTTCATCTTTGTCATGTTTATTGGTTAGAAGCAAAGCCATCATGTCCATCTGATCACACAGAGAACGATCGTTCAAAGCCATCTAAGACTGTGTATGCTAAAGTGTTAACCACTCATGGGTGTAATTATTGTTTCTCTGAAAATATCAGCGATGTGGACAACAAAGGAACAGTACTTAACATATGGTAGACAAACACTGGAAAAGCTGCAAACAAATATCCATGATTAAGGAGCAGTGGAAACAAAACTAACATTTATAGAAAAGGATAATTAGATGCAAATTGAACTCTGGAAATTCTCCTGACCTCTTCTAGGATTTAACCCCTAAGAAAGAATCGCACCGAAGTGAAGAACTAAAAACAATCAAGTTCACCTGAATGTCTTGAATGCTTACGTGTAAAAGAAAACAAACTATATCGGTGCATGATATGAATACTTTTTAAAAATATAAGATATAAAAAATGAACACCCACACACACTAGAAATGATCCAAAATTTCATTAAATAAAGTAAAAGGAACTCGACAATGGTTGTTGTATTGTGTAATATTATCTTCAAATTAGCTGGTAAGGTTGCCAGATACAAACCTGCAAAACTGGTTTTAAAAAAGTTATAAGAAATTAAAAATAAAAAAATGAATTAAGTTAAATTAAAAAATTTTAAGCATTAACTTCTTTCAACAGAGCAGCAGAAATCAGCAGTACAATTATCCAAACTATTCTGTATACACACACACACATATATTTTTCCCTCCTTTCTTCTGTCCTTTTCCTCATCCCAGCTTTTCCTTCTCATTGAACACATTCTTTCCCTTTCACAGTATCTATTGTACCTTTTGGATTTATTTACTCTTTCAGGTTCTCACATTAGAGATACAATAGATGTTGCACAGGTGGGTCTGATATATTTCACTTAGCAATACAGTCTCCGGTTGCATCCATTTATCCTATAGGCCTCAAATCTATGCTTTTTATAGTTGAGTTCAGTGTATAGACTGTTCAGTGTAACATTAAGGTGAGAAGATGTAATTCTATTAATGTGGAGAAATATGAAAAAGGAGACTAGTTTGTTTTATTTCTTAAAAGAAATTATCTGTAGAGTTTACAATTACGTACTTGAAAGTGCTACATATAATCAGTTTTACAAGTACATATTAAAATCCACAGCTAGGTCAATAGATTTTCTTTTCTTTTTGTCAAGGACCCAAATGAAGACACAGAATGGAATGAAATTTTAAGAGATTTTGGCATTCTTCCTCCAAAAGAAGAACCAAAAGATGAAACTGAAGAAATGGTCTTACGTTTACAGAAAGAAGCAATGGGTACAGTTGAGCATTTTGGGGCTAGATAAAGGGATAACACAATTAAGGTAGCAATATTATTTGCCACACATTTCAAAAGAGACAAAAATAATTTAGTATAGACTCCATCTACACATTCAAATTGGGGTATTGAAATAGGAAGTGGAAATTCATATATGAAAATCATATGCTAGTTGATGAAAGAGCTGAAATATGCTGGTATGTAACCTCGTAAGATTTCTCTCCCATTATATTCCTCTACTGTGTGATTGCTTTCCTTTTAGATCATTCTACAGAATATATGTTATTTGTTAAGATTTCCAGGTGTTTGGGGGAAATCTAAATTTATGGCCTCTGACTAATTTTCATATCTACTTTTATATACATACTCTGTCAATTCTATGAACTTTGAAGGAGTAATAAAAATTTAATGTTGTAGCTTCTGAAATATGTCAACAGTTATGGCTGTTTGCTTCTGGTTTGTTTAAGATATTCTTGATCTCCATTTACCAAAGATATTTTTTCTAGATATTTATTGGAAAGTGAAAATAGTTTTTAAACAATTATTTGTAATTTATGCTGTTTTAGTTAAACCATATGAAAAGATGACTTTAGCACAGCTGGAAGAAGCTGAAGATGAATTTGATGAGGATGATATAAAAGCTATTGAAACATACAGGTACAGTGATTCACTTGGCTTAATTAAGTTTTGAAGCCAATAATTTTTATGTTTATGGAATAAAGTTTAAGAGGAAAAAATTAAATTTTAGTAGGATTTTAAAGCTTTCTTTATATGAGATAAAATTACATATTAAAAACTTTATGCTGGGCATGGTGGTGCACATCTCTAATCCCAGCACTCAAGAGGCTCAGGCAGGATGATCACTTCAAGTTTGAGGCCTGCCTGGACAACAAAATAAGTTCAAGGCCAGCCTGAACTGCATAGTAAAATCCTGTCTCAAAAATAAGAAAGAAAAAGACCCAAAAAACTTTCTCTATCTCTCTCTTCTTCTTCTTCTTCTTCTTCTTCTTCTTCTTCTTCTTCTTCTTCTTCTTCTTCTTCTTCTTCTTCTTCTTCTCCTTCTTCTTCTTCTTCTTCTTCTTCCTCTTCTTCTTTAGCTCGGACTCATAGGAATCCTCCTGTTTTCAAGCCTCCCAACGCTAGGATTACAGGCCTGCACTACCATGCCAGGACTTGGTTGCTGGCTCAGCGCTCCCAAGGGCAGGGTCCATGCTGCCTGTGGTGCCAGAGATAGAACCCTGGTCTCTGTGTTTGCCTAAGCAGGTGCTTAGCCCACTGAGCTATGTCACCAGCTTTTTTTTCTCTTCTTGCCTTTACTTACATACAAAATTATCAGGGGCTATTGTATAAGGCCCTGGGTTCAATCCTCAAGACCACAAGATAAAAAAACCTAAAATAGAAAATTATCAATAATGTAAAAGTAGAGCTTCATCAAATTAAGTATGAGTAAAGCAGAAAATATCATTGAAAAGCCAATAAAAACACAATCATGATTTCATATACTAATGAGATGACTTGGCTAAATGAGTTTTAGATACCTTCAGAATGGGGCTAGTTTCCAGAAGAAACAACCATGTGATTAGAGGAGTGGAAGTTTCAACCCTACCTTCCATACTCTTTGGGGATGGACAAGGGTATGGAAGTTGAGTTAATCACCAATGGATTTAACCAACCATCCATACATAATGAAACCTCCATAAAATTTTTCTAAGTGATAGTACTGTACATTTGAATGCCTTCAAAATTCATATCCTGAAACTTGACCTCCAAGCAATGGTATTAAAAGGTGGATCATCTGGGGGAAATGATTAGATCATGAGGCTTCCCTGCTTATGAATGAGATTACTGCCTTTATAAAAAGTTCCGACATGATGACACACGTCGGCGATCCCTGCACTGTGGGAGGCTGAGGCAAGTGGATTACAATTTTGAGCCTAACCTAGACAATGTAGAAATTTACCAAGACTCTATCCCCAAAAAAATTTTTTAAAGAGCTGAGGATGTATAGGTATGTAGCTCATTGTGATGGCCCTGGGTTCAATCTCCAATACTACTGTAAAATTAATTTTACCTTTAACTAGAGATTAATCAAATTAATTGAAAATGCCTTTACTTTTAAAGTAATTACTGCTGGGCTGGGGAGATAGCACAGTAGTCTAAACACAAAGACATGGGTTTGATCCCCAGTACTGCATGCCCCACAGGCAAGCTGAGACAGGAAAATCCCTATGAGTCCAAGCTGTGTAGTGAAACCCTGTATCAGACAAATAAAAAGATTTATTTAAAAAAAATTACTGCTAAAGGCAGTCTTAGCTTCCACCATTTGCCTACTCGTTTTCTGTATTTGTGTGTTTTTTTTCTTCCAGTGCTGGGAATTAAACCCAGGGCCTCTTAGATGTGAGACAAATACTTTTCCAATAAATTGTATCCCCATCCCTCTTATTTGCTTTTGTTCCTTAGGTCTTCCATTTATACCTTCTTTTTTTTATTCAGCTGATTTCTGTAGTATACCATTTTTATTTTCTTCTTTCCTTTTCTGTATTTTTAAAATTTTCTTTCTTAGTAGTTCTCTTCAGGACAAAATCACAACTAGTTTGAGTAATACCAATCTAGATTCAATAACATTTAAATACTTACCTCCTATTTATCTCCATAATCTTTATGTTGATGTTGTCACAGATTACACTGATATGTACATATGTCCATTAGCAAAGATTTATAATCATTGCTTTATGAATTTGCTTTTTATATCATCTTAAAAAAGGAGTTAAAAACTGAAAGGACAGTAATACTGGCTTTTATATTTCTTTATTTGTCAACTTCACCAGTTGTCTTTTTGTCTTTCTGGGACTCAGTTACTGTCTTGTGTCCTTTCATTTCAGTCAGAGAGACTCATTTTGGATTTTTCGTTGGACAGGGCTACTAAACTCCCTGATCTGTTTTTGTCTTGGACTATCTTAATTTCTCCCTCTCATTCATTATTGAAGTACGGTTTTGCTCTGAGTTGACAATTATTTTCTTTCAGTACTCTTAGTATATCAATCTCTTTCCTTTTAGCCACCAATGTTTCTAATGAGAAACTGGCAGTATTGTTAAGGACTGCTTCTCTCTGACTTGCTGCAAGAATCTCTTTGTCATTATTTCTTCAAGTATTCTTCATACCCTCTTCTTTCTCTTCTCTCTGTTGGTCTACTTGATAATGTCCAACCCTACTGTGTATTTTCCCCCCTCAAACTTAGTAATTGCAATTGTTTTATCTTTAAATTTGCTGATTTGTTTTTGCTTGCTCAAGTCTGTGAAGATCCCCAGTATATTTTTATTTTAGTTATTTTACTTTTTAGTTCCTCTCCAGTGTGTTTTTTTTCTACTCACACCATTTCTTTTTCTTTTCTTTTTTTTTTAATTTTTATTTATTTATTTGAGAGAGAGAGAGAGAGAGAGAGAGAGAGAGAGAGAGAGAGAGAGAGAGAGACCAGCTCAGCCCACCAGGGGGCAGGGCTGGCTGGCATGTGGTGCTGGGGGATTGAACCGCGGTCCCTGATGCTTTTGCTAAGCTTGTTCTAAGTAGATGCTTTAGACCACTGAGCCATCTCTCCAGCCCACACCATTTCTTTTTCTTTTTTTCTCTTTCTCTTTGTTTTTGTTTTTGCTTTTCTATGCATGTCCGTGCATGCATGTATGTATGTATGTGTGACCTGGGATTGGACCCAGAGCTTTTGCACTGAGCTATATCTCTAGCTCCTTTTTATTTTCAGATAGGGTGCTGCTAAATTGCTAAGTTTTCCAGCCTGGGGTCATGCTTGTGGCCCTCCTGCCTTGGGCTTCCACAGTGGTAGGAGGATTATAAGCATGTACCATCATGCTTTGCTCCCATACCATTTCTGACATGAAATGTGTAGGCTTTTTTTCCTCTATGCTAATGAATTCGTCAACTTGCCAAACACAACCAGTCATTTTGCAATTCAGTTTAATCTGACACTAACTACCAGATTTAAGGCAAACTCCATGATAAGAAATCACTGCATACTCACTAGAATAGTTGCCACACAAAATACAGACAACAATAAAAGTATTGGCAAGCTTTTAGAGAAATTAAAACCCTTGTCATTGCTAGTGAAAATGCAAAGTGGTGCAGCCACTTTGAGAAGCATTCTGAAAAATAATCAAAAGCATAAATGTAGAGTTGTCATATAATTGAGCTATTCCATTTCTGAGTATGTGCCCAAAATAATGAAAACAGAACATGTATAAGAATCACGGGCCAGTCAAACAGCTCAGAGGATTAAAGTACCTGCAAGCAGGCTCAGAGGCCGGAGGATTGACCCCATGGCCCCTGAGATGGCAAGGGGGTTCAGGGGCCAGGGGTTCAATCCCTGGGCCTGCTATACCAGCTCCGCCCCTGGGCCTGCTGAGATGGCAATTGAGACTGGGCATGGCATGTGTGCCTGTAATCCCAGCTCACGGAAGGCTGTAAACAGGAGTATCACTATGAGTCTGATCTCCTCAGTGAAACCCTGTATACCCTGTCCTAAAATAAAAAAAAAAAAAAAAAAAGAATCACATCATCACAACCAAAAAGTAGAAGCAAGCTGAATATCTACCAACTACTATGTGGATCACCAACAGTACTGTATTTGTGCAATGGAATTATTACTCATAAAACACAATGAAATACCAATATGTTCTACAACAAGTATGAACTTGGAAAATACCATACTAAGGAGAAGAAATTAGCTGCAAAGGTCATATAAACAGAAAACAAGTTATTGTATACCAGGTCCTCAGAAGAGTAAGCAGAAAATTTCTGTAGATACAGATTTTAGTTTGGTGGAGTGAGAAATATTTTTTTTTCATTAGATAGTTACAAAGGTTCAACAACTTTTAATTCATATTCTCCAGTTCTCTCAAGAAGTTCCTTTCCAGGCAATGACTGTGGCCTGGCCCCTTTTCATTAGGGACTACATCATCTTAGAATCCTTTACTTCACAAGGGATATGTCAGAGAAGAATCATAGAAATTGATATATCATGTTCATTCATGTTCTAGTCTCTTGATCTTAATAAATCTATACAGGAAGCTAGCTAGTATGTTCTTTCTCTGAAGTCTAGAAGGGAAAGTTATAATCAAGCTCTAGGTCTTAACCGGGTATCAGGATAAGACAAATAAAAATATAATATTCAAAAGAAGAGGCAAAACGCTGTTTTGTAGGTAGTTATAAAATAACAAGTGAATCAACTCAGAAGCTCTTATACCTAAAAAGATAAGGATGAATTTCTACATAGCCATGAATATATCTATAGTCTATTTTTATAGCAAATATACTAAATTGATCCCCTTGACACATGTTCTTTCTTTTTTTCTTTCTCTTGATATATGTGCCAGTACTATAAAAGGTAAAAAGCTGAAACTATATCTTTCAAACTTTATTGCAATATGGATAACTTATGTAATTTAGATTTTATTGAGCACATTCACAGGATATTTGAATTCAGAGCCAAATTACAGAGGAAAGAAATGATAGCACACAAAGTACCTACCTAACCCACAGTAATCTAGAATCTGCATCATGGTTTTGCAGCCATTATTCTGGTATCAGTTTGTTATCATCAGATTATCGCTATGGAGAGGGAGTGCTAGACAACAGTTGCTACTATGAATTTCAAAACCTCAAGAGTAATTTGACAGTAGGTCCAACAATTAGAACACCAGTTCCAGATACATGGTTTCTAAATTATGGTGAAGAAAGCCATGACAGATCTGTTTTGCAGTGTTACTGTTTTACTTTGGTTTTGTTTTTGTTTTTTGGTGTCAGGAGTCAAACTCAGGACCTTAAGCTTGCCAGGCAGGTGCTTGTGCTGCTGAGCTATATCCCTGGTCCTGCAATGTTTTGAGAGTCATTTCTGGTTAATCGGTCTACAGCCTACTCCTTGCACCTCTCCCTTAGGTTTGCAAAGCACTTCATTCATCAGATTAAACTCTTTCCTACTTAAAATAGCCAGAAGGCTTTCTCTTTACACAACTGGATCCCAACTGATCTGATTGTTCAGCGAAAAATGCAAGCCACTGAACACTATGTGACTCCCTAATTGCAAAACCAGCCTATGTTCACCTTTCTTTTCTTCCCAATCCAATGAAATAGCAAGTAGGAAGAGGTGGTAGTAAAAGGAGGAGGAGAAAGAGAAGCAGTTACACCATTTAGTAGGTCATGGTGTTATCACTGGAGCAAGAGTATTTTAAAATTTCTGAACATTAAGCCAGTGAGATTGAATGGAGGGAACTTAGTGGTAGCAATATTAAACATTCAGTACAAATAAAGCAGAACTTTCAAAAGATCTTTGAAGTAGCTCTAGGTTGTATCTCTGTCAGTAGAGGGACAAACAAAGCATATCAACTCAAAAATGTGAAAAGTTCTATCTAATGCTGTGTTGTTATTTTTAGCATCTTCTTTTAGGCTTCATTTTGTTTGGATTGTTATGTAAAGTGAGAGATTTTTCCCTGACATGTTTCTACATGTAAAATATAGCCAGAATATTTAAAAAATGTGCCCAGGAGTTTTATTCAAGTATGATGAGAAGAGGATTGCCATTTAAAGGATAGTTTGGGAGCTGAGCACATGGCTCAGTGGCAGAGCTCTTGCCTTGCATATATAAAGCCCTGGGGTCGCACCCAAGCACCAAAAAAAGAAAAGAAAAAAAACAGTTCCCAAGAGGCCTCCCTCTAAACTGCCTGAATTTGTCAGGAGTAGGAAAAGAGAAGCATGGGAAGCAAGATAAAAGCATGGGCATGAGCCTTTACTGGAGTGATAGCAGGAGAGAACACACAGGGAGTTTGGTAAGAAGGCTAAGGACAGAGTAGGGACAATGATGCTGGTGGGCACTGGGCTGCCAGGCTGTCTTTAGTTGTCTCCTAACAGGCCTTGGGATGACAGGGCAAGCACAGGAAGTGGCTCAGCTGGACACAGACGAGGGCTGCGGGTTTGCACTCAGCATTGTTTGGTTTACATTTGAAGAATTTGCTCTCAGTCAGTGTGTATTCTTCCTTAGAAGTAGCCTGCCCCGAAATAGGTACCAAGTCCAAAGGATCAGCAGGCTTTAGATGGCAGAAAATAAGAAAATGTAGTTAACACATGCAGGAAGGGACAGTCAGTACCCCAGAGAAAGCAAGTTATAAAATCAATCTATTAAGAAATTTTTAGTATCAGAAATCATTTGGGCTTGCTGTATAAATCCAAATGTTAAACAGATTAATCTCCAGAGTATGTAAATTCTGAAAGCTGTTTAACAAAATAGATAAATGTTACGGAATTCTCACTGGGACCAGATGCCAGACTATGAAATTTGCATGTATAATCTCACTTAATTCCCAGCAATCCTCCATAAGAGTAGGTATTAATGTTCTTATGTACAGTTTGGGAAACTGAAGTTTAGGAAGATTAAATAACCTACCCAGCTTCATGCTACTGTTCAGTGCTAGAACTGATATTTAAACACAGTTTATTTGTCTTAAGAGTCCAAGCTCTGAATCACTCATTTGCTGCCTTGCTTCCTGTAATAAAATTAGTTTATAACAAGTAATTAGAAATAGTCACAAAGACTTTGGACTGAAGGTCATCTTAGCATGCTATAGTTATAAATATGGAGATAATAATAGTATGAATTTCATAAAGTCTTTGCAAGGATTAAATTGGTCCATAAAATGTGCTTCAAAAATGGTGCCCAGAAAATAATAAGCACTCAATAAATGTTAACAGGTTTTCAGTCTTGTGGAGTATTTAACCTGTGTATGTGAATTGGTTGGCCTGATGTCTAAACAACCCAAATAAAAACAAATTTAAAACTCACTAGTAAATTTTTTATGCTTTGTAATACCTATCATGACACAAATTCCCATATAAGATAAATTGAGATTATAGGATCATTGATGGTTATCCTATCGCTTAAAATGTTTGATATGAACAGTCATCATATTCCTTGCCCTAAATTGTTAGTGTATGAAAACAAGCTGAAGAATATGACAATTAGGGCCAGCCAAATAGCTCAGCAGACTGAAGCACCTCTTTAGGCAGATGCAGCGGCCAGAGTTCGATCTCCAACATGCCGTGCCAGCCCCACCCCCAAGGCAAGCAGAGATGGCAATTGAGACTGGGCATGGTGGCACATGCCATGATCCCAGCTCTTGGGAGGATAAACACAGGCAAGTCCGACCTATGTAGTGTGACCCTGTAGACTCTGTCCTAAAATACAAAAAAAAGGAGACAATTTTCTTTCTTTTTTTTCCCATAATTTTATTGAGAAACAAATAGCAATGAGACAGTTTCAAAGCAAATTGGTAGGACAATTTCAATAATTAACACATTGCATACATTCTTCCTAGTGGTTAATTGCTATACAAGATGTGGACTTGATATCCTATTTACAAACACCATTAGAACAAATCACTCTATTCATTAAGAGAATGTAACTATATATCTATCCTAACCACTTTGAATACACAGAT